AGAAGTGCGGCGGAGGGCCGGGCGGGTGGGGCAGCCTCCTGCGTGTCCCTGCCGGGCGCAGCCTTCGCCTTTGGGGCGGCCCGAATGTCAGCTGAGGGTCCCGCGGGGCCGCTGGCTGCGAGCTGTGCCACAGGTGCGGCCTCCCCCAGCTGGCAGGGTGCTGGCAGCGGTGCTAGCTTGGCTGGTGGTGTCTGGGGCTTGCACTCGACTTAGCTGCGCTGCTCAGGGAGGTTAAAGGCAGTCTGGCATGGCAGGCCCGTCGCTGTGAGCCTCCGTCGGTTCCTGCTTTGCAGTGGTTTATGCGTCTTTTAAGTCTCTGTTGAGACGTACCTGCAGGTATATTAGGAAACAGCTGCTGAAGGCCCTGGTCATAAAGATCTCTTTGTAGCTCCAAAAAGGGGAAGAAGCAAAAGCATCCAGTATGTGGTTGTTCAAAGACAACAGTTTAAAAAAAAAAAAAGTGGATTGTCTACTTTAGCTATAATCTGTTCAGATTTTGCTTGTAACAACAGGGGAATGTTATGTATGTTATGATGATTTTGCTTTAATGACACTAAGACTTTGCTTTCATCATCCAGAGCCTGCTGTAACATCGTGTCCTGTCAAATGTACTTTGACACACAATGAAGCGTAGGCAACTTCAGCCTTTAACTTTGAGTTGGAGGAAGTCGAGCTGTTTATCTTCAGTTAAAGAAAGCAAAAGTGAATGGGAACTTTATGCTGTAACAGAGCATTAGTGTCCAGGCCAGACAAGAAATTAAGGTAAGGATTGTAGATCTGGTACTCTATCTGGTATGTCATATAAAGATGTTTACCCGTTTTCAGGGGAATTGGTTGAACTTGTAGGATTGGTGCTTCGTATTTGTAGCAGGTTCGTTCCTGGTGTTTGTGGGCTTTGAGCCTTGATTTGATGCAGGGTAGGATTTTTCATTATGACGGTATTAAAAGCAAAATGAAGTTGGATCTAAGGTCTCGTTCTGTTATGTTCTTATAACTGAGAACCACTACAAGTGTTCTCTGAAACGTTAAAAATATCTCTTCTGGAGTAGTCAAAAATACAAAACTCTTCATCGTATTAGCATGAGGCAGTAAATATTTACGTTTTCTGGTGATACTGAATGAAATTTGGCAGATATTTTCTCATGTATATAAAGATCACATAACTAAATTCTGTGGGCCCATTTTGAATTTAATGCCTCCAAGCTGAAGAGGTGAATGCCTAACAAGTGGAACATTAGTAATAACCAGCTACCTAAATGTTAACCAGGGATCTACATGAATATACAATTTGCAGTAGAAAAAATGTTTTTAATCTCAAAGTTTAATCTCTGCTCACAGTTAGTACTTTTCGTTATAGAAATCTCAGTGTTTGGGCTCCAAAAACTGCTGAGTATTGTCTTATAATTGTAAAGCTATTTAAACAGTGGAAATGTTTCAGGCTTAGATTTCTATATTTGGTATTTTTGACTACTATTACACCTTGTGTTTTTGAACTGAGGTGGTAATATATATGAATATAGAAAAAATGAATAATAATGATCTCAATTAGCATAATGATCTCATTTAATGTAGCGTTATACTAATGAGTAATCCTGTTTAATGGAACTGTGCATGTTAAAAGCTCGCTGGAGAAAAACCTATTACTTTTGGACGTGATAGTCCTTTAAGAGGGATTGGTTATTTGGAAGAAACCGGTTACAAAGAAGTGTTGGCACCTGCTCTCTAGATAAAAAACCATCAGTCTTCAGATGAACATTGCTTGCCTAAAATTGTTAGAAAGTGCGGATCTCTGAAAATGGAAGAGAGATGAAGGAATAAAAGGTAGCCAGTTGCAGCGGTGGTTGTCGTGTTCTTTTTCAGCCACTATTTGGAAGTGTAAACAGCAGCACTATCTTCTTAATTAGAAGCTTTCAGGCAGGGTTAAATTCCTTGCCAACAGGGATACTAAGAAGATCAAAATACTAATGGTGCTTTTGATAATTAGGTTTAAAATCCTGTATTGTTTCAATTGGAGCAATAAAACAGGCTTACGTAAATCTCTGGATAACTGAACCCATGTATGTTACAATAAAATCCCAACAGCATTAAAATAATTATTCCAAAGATGAAGTTTGGTTAGTCAGTGTAGGTCTTTGCATTTCTTTGTACCTCTGGGACGCATACTTCAGCTCACTCTTAAACTTCTATCAAATAGGTGAATTTTGGAAGACATTCTGAGACTGTTGTTTCCTCCTTGATCAAAAGTAGCTTGATTTGCAGAGATCTGGACTTTGCTTGCTAGCTATTCTCTATCTATTCTGAAGGGAGGATTCAGCTGGAGCAGTTCTGCTGATAATATCCTATAGTAAGTGAAGCAAGAAAGTCTTCTCGGGGTGGGGGATGCTTATTCCTGGTCACATGGGGAACTGGTGTCGTGAGTTCTCAGTAAAATGCCTTTCTCACCACAGATTGTTGGGATTTTCATGAGCACTTAGTCTGTGATGAGTTGAGGTAGTCTTCTGCAGAGTGCATTTTAATGGCTTTGATTGAAGCAGAAGTATGGTTAATGTTGGCAAGGTTCTCGCTGCCAGGAGTCTTGGCTTATTAGCCAGAGGAAAATAGCTGATAATGTTTTTCTTTTATGTGGTGGTTGAACAAGTTATAGATCTGGAATAACCCTTAAATTGCAAACAATTTCTGAATTTATTCCCTGAAGCAAAAGAACTCCTATGCTTTTAGTCTAATTAGCCCAGATGGCTTGTGACACACACAGCACAAGTTAAATGGCACATCATGGGAGAACTGAGTATCCTGGGTTCTCTTGACTCAATAATAACGTGTATAACGTGTACTTTGATCTGGGGAGTCTTTTCGAGTCTTTTCTAGATAGATATAGAGATTCTCACTACAATATGAATTTGTATGGTACTTCAACTCATGTTCTCTTTATGAATCATATTAAAGATAGGTTTTGCTTAAATGCATTTTTTCTGGTCTTACACGATGAAATTATTACATAGACTTGTTGATAAATATTTTTGATTTGGGGGAAGCTATGGCTTTTAACTAACCTTCATCTCAGTAAGGCAAACTTGCATAGGTGTAAACTTGGCAAGGCCAAAGCTACTACTGTTAGTAGCAGGAGACTTGAGGAAGGGAGCAGAATCTTTCATCCTGCATAGCCTTGTCCATCAGTAAACAGAGTTTTAAAAAAAAAAAAAACAAAAAAACAAAAAACTAATCCCTCTCTGTGTAGATCATTCAGTCACGAAAGCTCTCTGAAATAGTAGTTTATAAAAATAACACTTTATTATGACTGAATTTGAGACCTTGATTGAACAAAACAAATGATATGTATCAGCTTCCTGATATTCAAGTAAAATGTGAGCATAGATAACTGTCTCTGTGTAATTCTGTAAGCTAATATGGGAGAAACTGATCCTGTGGACAAACTGTTGCAAGTAACTGAAGTTACACGTCAGTTTCTCTGAGAATCCTTTTTCTTTTTTAATTGCAAATGTATGAGGATATAACAACTGTCTGTCTTCTACATTGTAGAAAACTGTCCTTGATAGGTACATTCAGATATAACTGTTTATGTTCGTGTATCAGAAAATCAGCAAGAAAATATAAAACACGCTTTAAAATACTTAGAGAAGGCTGCCGGTTTGTGGTTAAAAACATGTTGATATTTGTTATGCTGTGGCAAACTTGCGAAGTTGTTTAGTACTGGAAGATTTTTAGAGAGTTTGGTTTTGAGATTGGGAAGTGATTTATAGCCATCGAATCATAGACAGAAGCTGTAAGTGTCCAGTGCTAGTGAAATGAAATTCAATAGCGAGGAAGTGGCACTTTGAAGATGTGGTTCAAAAATAAGCAAGTTTCAGCTGAAAGCCATAATATGGCAGTATACGGCTGCAGTATTTTTGGTTAAGGGTGGCTGTTGAAGAGAAGTCAAACTTCACTTAAAAAATACAAGTAATTCAGTATCTTCTTGAAATCACATAGATATGGAAACAAACTGATCGATATAACTGGTATGTTTGGTAGCAAGGAGAGCAGAAATCAGTGGCCTGTTCTTGCAATGTAGGGAGTTTACAAGTAGTTTTCCTCAGGAATCTGTACAAGGCAATGAAATTATCTTTAAAAGAATTATTAGGAGGACTCTGGAACTCCTTGCTTAAGGCAGTCGTGGATGGAAAAAGTTTGGGGGCTCAAGGACAGGTTGGACAAGATAGCGGAGGAGAGATCTGTGGAGGGTTCCTAAACAAACTACATCAAATTCAAGAAATCCTATGAATTGAAAGTAGTTGAAGGTTGAGGAAGTTGCGTTCTACGCTTGCCCTGTTCATCCTCTTCTGCTACCGCAGGAGACAATGTGATTTTTCTTATTCATCACCTCTAAAATAAGATTGACTGCTGGAACTGTATGGCTGAGCTGGAGAATTGAATCTGGACAGTTGAATCGCCATGATCCAAACCCAGAGAAATGTTATGATTTACATAATATTTCAAGTTTATCCAGGGTTCACTTGCTCTCTTTCATGAGAGAAGTTTTAAAGATCTTTGTCAGTCCATTTTCTAGTCTTTTTTTTTTTTAATGCAGCAATGGCTGATTTAACAATATGATTGTTTTTAAAATCTGTAGCAATGGTTTGACGTGTTCTTGTCTCAAGGTCGTGATCCTCTGACAAAAGCTAAGCTATGTTAAAATAGCATTGACAATATGTAGAAAAGAAATTCCCAGAACTATTTTCTTCTGTCTTCCTACTGCTTCATCTTGTCTAGTCTTGCTCCATTATCACCTGTGAACCTCTTCAGGCTTACTGAGGATATCTCAGTACCAGTGAGTCTATGAATTACATGCATTCTCCTTCAATTATCTCTGCTTGTCATTCAGCTTAACCTATAACTAGAATTCTTATTCAGACAGCAGTGGAAAGAATGAGCATGTGTAACTGGAGGGGGAAAAAAAAATCTTACGTATTGGTGGTAAGCACAGCCTTGTCGCAGATTTAAACTAATGGGAATTGCTAATCTTAAGATACTCTCATAGATAAACTGTTCAGCAGTGGTTCAGATGGGTAGTATTGTTTCTGTCATTAGTCATTATATAATCAATACAAAAATATAGTGAACAATATCTGTTTGTACCACTGTAAGAGAGTCTTAGCTCAAGACAGCTCAGTGTTCTTATATGGAGAAGATGCTTCAGATGAATAAACAAACTAGAGGAGTAGGATGGACAAGGTGGCAGTCTAAAATGGGATATTTCCATTCATAATCGGTTGTATTCAAAGTTTCACTCGCCTTCCAGCCTGCCTGTTCTTATCAGCAAAAAAATCCTACTCCAGGTAGCATGCATTACTAAAGTAGCAGGAAACGGTGACTGGAAGCTGACTCTTTAGTTTGTTACTGAAGCAATGGTGAAGTAAGTCTCTCCTAGGAGAGTTAGAGATGGGAGTGGTGTGTTTCAATCGTTTGGTGACAGTGGATAGTTCTGAGGGAAAAGGGAGGCTCCTCTATTTTTAAGTGAAATATTTACCAGACAATAGCAGGTAATTCATACTTGTTTGCAGAATGACATTGCTTTTATGTCTGAACTCGGAGACAGATTAGTCTGTCTTGTAAGAATAAATTCAGAAAAATTGAAATTACCACATGAAATGCTGTTGCTGAAGGAATAATACCATCAGCAAAAGCAGTGGCCTGTTTTCTGCTGTCAGTTGCTTTGATGCTGACATAATCATGACATTTTTGAAAGGAGAGATCGGGATCCACCA